GATACCATTAGAGCAGAACGGAATAGATATATGTTGAATTGCTTAAGTCATTAATTAATCAAAAGCCCCAGTTTCTTAGAGGGCAACTTGGGTTTTATCTAGTGACCTCTGATAGAGGTCCAGAAAAAACTAGTTAAACCCAAGTTGCCCTCCAAGGAAATCCTACCTCCATTGCTCACTCTGCCCCATCCCCAGAAGAACATCCAAAAGGAGAGTCTTGCAACACCCTCCTCTACTCAACCACCCTCCACAGCCTTGCTTTATTCCTGGTTATTCACACCAACCTTCTCTCCCAACCCAACTCCCCCAAACTCCCAGTTCCCTCACACATGCCTCTTTCTCTATGCGCACACACATGCACATGCACGCACGCCCACCCTCCATCATTCCATCCCCAGATGAGCCATCTGAGCTTGTTGTCTCCCTGGCTGCTTCTCAACCCTGGTTTCCCAGACTGGGAGAAGAAAGAGCCTGTTTTCAGTTAAGGCTTTGGTCACACACAGATGCCTTTTCCATTACTCTTGTTTTTCCTCTTGAAGTGTAACATTTCCAATTAACTCTGCAGGGGAGGCAGCCCTGCACTAACCACCCCACATGGGTGTGTGAAACGGGGAAGGGGGGCAGGGTCCTTGGAGGCCTGCCCTTAGCTGCCTACCCTGACCCCTGTGCAGGCTGCAACCGGAACTTCCTTACCTTGGATTAGAGGTGACACTGTGGACATAGTTTGAGGGTATGTCACAGGTTTGCCTATCTCTGCAACTAAGGTCTGTGAAGTGAACATTCTCCTGATACCCCGAACTGACCCTCTAACAGCCTCAAGACACTAAATAAACCTTGTCTGTTGAAAACCTGGAATTTATCTTACTTTATTTATTTATTTATTTTTTGAGTTGGAGTCTCACTCTGTTGCCCAGACTGGAGTGCAGTGGCATGCTCCCAGTCACTGCAGTCTCAACCTGCTGGACTCCGGCGATCCTTCCGTCTCAGCCTTCCAAGTACTGGAACTATGGGCGAGTGCTACCACGCCCGGCTAATTTTTGATTTATTGTAGAAACGAGGTCTCCCCCAATTGCCCAGGCTGGTCTCGAACCTGCAGGCTCAGGCAATCCACTTGCCTCTGCTTCCTAAATTGCTGGGATTACAGGCTGAACCACCAAGCCCGAGGCGAGTGGATTGTCTGAGCCCACGGGTTCGAGACCCGCCCGGGCAACTTGGCGAGACCTCGTCTCTACAATAAATCAAAAATTAGCCAGGCGTGGTAGTGCGTGCCTGTAATTCCCACTACTTGGAAGTCTGAGGTGGAAAGATCACCGGAGCCCAGCAGGTCGAGGCTGCGGTGGCCAGGAGCCTGCCACCGCACTCCTGTCTGGGCAACAGAGTGAGACTCCAACTCAAAAATAAATAAATAAAATAAAAGCCTAGGGGAAGAGTTAGAAAGTAAGGACAACAACAGACCCATAAAAATGAAGAAGGAATTGTCCTGCATGAGTCTCCAGTTGTGCACGCAACTCTATAGCTTATAATTTCCTCCCACAAAATACAGCAGGGTGTGAGAATATTAAGGGATCCCATCTGTCCCCTAAGGAGAGTATCTGCCCATATGATACAAGAAAATACACAAGATTTCTATGGAATCGGGATGCTGAGCAGTTGCTTCAGCCTGGTCAACTAGTCCTCACCCATTAGCTCCACAATCAGGAAATTCGAGAAAATGAGAGCCCGCGGGTTCGAGACCCGCCTGGACAACTTGGCGAGACCTGGTCTCTACAATAAATAATAATAATTTAAAAATTAGCTGGGCGTGGTAGCACGCACCTGTAGTTCCAGTTACTTGGAAGGTTGAGGCGGAAGGATCGCCGGAGCCCAGCAGGTTGAGGCCATGGTAGCCGGGAGAAGCCACTGCACTCCAGTCTGGGCGACGGAGTGAGATTCCAACTCAAAAAACAAAAACAAAAACAAAAAAAAACAAAATAAAAATCAAGAAATGAAAGGTTGACATTTCATAGGTCCTGAAGGTTGGTCAAAATGACCAAAACTGCAAATGTTAATTCGTGAATGTCAAGTGTTGCTGTGACAAGAGCCCTTGATATATGATTTTGGGGAAGTACACCCGGCATTGTGCTGGGAATGTTGCAATCACTAAGACCTGCCGGGGTTGATTCCCATGATCTTGTGATACACAGGGAAACTCTAACTGTACAGAGGGCTGGACTCCATCACCTTGTCCATTTGCAGTTCCACTTCAAGAATCCTTGATGCTGGGTTCATGGCCAAGGATTCGTCTGATTGATGCTGGGGTGGAGAAAAGGGACTGGAGCAGTTCCTCTCAGCAGTAGGAAGAACAAAGGCCTTGGAAAATGAGTCTTAGGAAACAGCAGGGGGATGAGAGGTATTTCATTTGAAGGGAGGAACTGCAAATTCCTGAAGGTCTGAGGCCTAGAAAACTCTAACAAGTGACGAACACATGGTATTTATAATCATAGGCAAAGAAAGCTTGATTATACCTTGGGGGGCCCCCTCTTCCAGTCACCTGGGTCTAATTATCCAGAGTCCTATCCACCTAAAGGAGGAGCTACATCTTGCTCTGATCCCCAGCCTGACTTTACTCTCTCCAGACCCTCAAAATTCACTTTCCAAAATTTACTTTCCAACGTGAATTTAAAGGAACCCAGTGGAAGAAGGGCCCTAGCTATTGACCCACACACTCTGGAAATACATCACTGTTTCATATTTGACATCTGTTTTAAGTTTTATCATTAGCAACTTATTCATTTGCAGTACATTGGTAACAATGTATACACACCGAGATGCTTATTTTACAAGCTTATCAGGTAATTTAAAATCCTTAGGAAATGGAAAGGTGATTCAGCAATGTTCATCACATATTCCTTGCATTCAGGTCACTGGAATGAACACTTTGGAGAGAAAATGTGGTCCTAGACCTCTAGTAGCAAACTTTCTGCTATGGTTTGAATGTTTTTGTCCCCTCCAAACTCATTCTGAAACTTAATTCCCAGTGCAATGGTATTAAGAGGCAAAGGACGTGAGGGCGACCTGGCTGTGACATCTGTCACCCCATTGATTGCCAGGATTGATTTGGTTGATCTGGCTGACCAGGTGGGTGTCCCCTTTCCACCTTACCCCTCCATGTGCATCCCTCCTGAAGCTCCACACTTGGTTGAAGATGATGACCATCCCTGCCAGAGAGGACCGTTCTTCAATCAAGGGTATACGAGTAGCTGCACTCTTGCTGCTAGAACCTCTAAACAAGCTCTCAAGAGGTGAGGTCTTTAGGAGGTGAATGAGTTATGAGGGCAGAGTTACTATTAAAAGGGTTGTTGGGAGTGAGTGGGGCTGTTGAGTTTGCTCTCAAGCTCTTCTGCCAGGTAAGGAACAGCATTCCTCTTCTCTGAAAAATGCAGCATTCAAAGCACCATGTTGGAAGCAGAGAGCAGCCCTGACAACAAACCTGCCAGCACCTTGATCTTAGACCTCCCAGCCTTTAAAACTGTGAGAAATAAATTTCTGGGTTTTAGCCGGGCTCGGTGGCTCAGCCTGTAATCCCACGCTTTGGGAGGCTGAGGTGAGTGGATTGCCTGATCCCGCGGGTTCGAGACCTGCCTGGGCAACTTGGCGAGACCTCATCTCTACAGTAAATCAAAAACATAGCCGGGTGTGGTAGCACGCACCTGTAGTTCCAGCTCCTTGGAAGGCTGAGGCGGAAGGATCGCCAGAGCGCAGCAGGTCAAGGCTGCGGTGGCCGGGAGCGGCCACTGCATTCCAGTCTGGGCAGCAGAGTGAGACTCCAACTCAAAAAAAAAATCTGGGTTTTGTTGTTGTTGTCTTGTTTTGTTTTACACTTGATCTTAGCCAAGAGGCCAAGAAGCAATTGTTTTGTTTTGTTTTTTAAATAAAAGGCCTCTGACACCTTCCAAATGAAATGACAGAGATTAATTACTCAAAGGATAAGTAAGTGCTTCACTACTGAGACTAGTATCTACTTTTTTTTTTTTGAGTTGTAGTCTCACTCTGTCACCCAGGCTGGAGTGCAGTGGCACGCTCAAGGCCACTGCAGCCTTGACCTGTTGGGCTCAGGAGATCCTTCCGCCTAAGTCTTCCAAGTAGCTGGAACTACAGGCACATGCCACCACACTCTGTTATTTTTTTTATTTACAGTAGCGATGAGGTCTAGCAAGTTTGCCCAGGCTGGTCTTGAACCCATGAGCTCAGGCAATCCTCTCACCCTGGCCTCCCAAAGTCCTGGGATTATAGGCATGAGCCACCGGGCCTGGCCTGGTATCTACTTTTAATAGGATAGTTAGGAAAAACTTCACTGAAATAATGCATTTAATCGAAGACCTGAAAATGAGAAAGAGCCAGGCTTACAAAGAACAGGTAGAAGTTATTTCTAGGGAGAGGAACAAGAAATGCAAAGTCCTTGAGGCTGGAAAGAGCTTGTTCAAAGAAGTGAAAACCATAACTGAGATAATATTACACATAAAATGTTGTATACTGTATTTGTACTTAATATAAAAATTTATTTCCTGTGTTATTAACTTTTAAAAAATAATTTTCATGACTATGAATGAAATATAATCTGCATGACAATATCCTTCAAAAATAGTTTCCAACGGTTTGATTTTATAAATAATAGTACAGCTTGTACCTAAATACATAAAAATATTCATAAGAAATATTCTTCTGAATTTATTTTCTTCAGAAAAAATTGTCAGGAGTGAAACTGTTATTTGGTACTTTTTCACACCAAATTATCTCCAGAAAAGTTGGTCTATGTTACTTTTTTAACCAGTAGTATTCAGTAACAATGTATACACATTGTATATGCATAAATGTAGACACATACACATGTATACACAGTGATGATTTGAGCATGATTTTAAATGTAAATTATGAAATAAAAATTCCTTAATGAAAACAACTTTAAATTATTATTATTATTATTTGTTGTTGTTGTTGCTATTTAGTTTTTATTTCTCTGCAATCCAACTAGATGTGGAAGGGAATAAGGAAAATATGGAACCCAAAGAATCGTAGCGAGAGCACAAAGATTATAGGGATACTGCGAGCAAACGGGATGGAAGGGGTGCTCTCCTGAGCTACAGAAGGAATGATCTGGTAATTTAAGATAAAACAAATCAAATTTATTAGAGTTGTCCACAGTCAGCAATGGTGATCTTCTTGCTGGTCTTGCCATTCTTGGACCCAAAGCCCTCCATGGCTTGTACAACATTCATGCCTTCTTTCACCTTGCCAAAAACCACATGCTTGCCATCCAACCATTCAGTCTTAGTAGTGCAGATGAAAAACTGGGAACCGTTTGTGTTGGGTCCAGCATTTCCCATGGACAAGAAGCCGGGACCTGTATGCTTCAAGATGAAGATCTCATCATCAAATTTCTCCCCATAGATGGACTTGCCGCCAGTTCCATTATGGCGTGTAAAGTCACCACCCTGGCAATAAACCCTGGAATAATTCTGTGAAAGCAGGAACCCTTATAACTGAATCCTTTCTCTCCAGTGCTCAGAGCACAGAAAGTTTTCTGCTGTCGTTGGAACTTTGTCTGCAAACAGCTCGAAGGAGACACGGCCCAAGGGCTCACCGTCTACGGCGATGTTGAAGAACACGGTGGGGTTGACCATGGGTGATGGGAAAAGGCTCAAGGCGGCGCCGTCTGCAAAGCCTATTATTATTTTTTTATCAATATTTTTTATTATGATATTGTGGGGTACAGTTAAGGGTTATGTATACAAATATGCTTCGTTCAGGCACCCTTGTTGATAGAA